AATAAAAGGAAAAATATATATTAAAAAAATATTAATTCTTTTTTCTCGATATTACAATGGAGTAGCTTGCGGCTATATATTAATTCTTTTTTCTCAATATTACAGGAGACTCAGAGGCAAACCAAGGAGCCCAAAAAATTATACTCCCTCTATCTCAAAGAGATTGTTCCTCGAAATAATTGTTTAGTCAAAACTTTAAATACTATACTTTTAAAAAATATCCTTAATCAATTTTTTCTTCCTTTTCTTATTTTCTACTAACTAGAAATTTAATATTATTTAAACTCTTATTTTACACATACAAATATTTTAATATAAAAAATTCTAAAGAAATATTTTTCTTACTTCAAAACTATTCATTTTATAAAAAATTTAGGATTCTTTAATGATCTTTAGATCGGTCTAGAAATTTTCCAACTTAAATCTGAGAGGAATGAAAATTTTAATTTGACGCCTTAATTTTAGAACAAAATTTTTGACATAAAATTTCATGAGAAATTTAGAAAGGCTTAATGATCTCTAGATCTTTCTAAAAATTTCCAAATTAAATGGAAAGGACGAAAATCTTGATTTGAAGGTTCGATTTTAAAACTAATTTTTTTACTTAAAATTTTATGGAAAATTTAAGATTCGTTAACGCTTTTAGATGTTTTTAACTTAAATTTAAGAACAAATATTTTAATTTGGCATTTGGTTTTAGAAGGGTTTAAGAATTTCCATACTTAAAAATTTTGAAACTCAAATTTAATATGATGGAAGGTTATTTTAGGAAAGTAAGAATAAAAAAAAACCTAATGTCGTAACGATTGATGTCTCTTTTAAAATATGTGAAAAGTTAAATTAGACTAACACTTTGGGACAGATGGAGTATTATTTATCATGTTATATTTTATAGAATTTTCGAAGGCACTAACATAGTTTGTTATTAATCAATTAATGAAACATTAGACTTTAAAAGTAAGAACAATTAAACCACACACAGTTTTCAGTTTTCTTGGTTTTTGTTTTAATAAGTTATTAGCAGAAGCATTTGTTTTTGTTTTTGTTTTTGAAACCCATATAGATCCTTGGGTTGGGAAAAAGACCAAGAACAACAAAGGAAGAATATATGGCAGGACCAGACGTTGAAAATAATGACATACTATTTTTCCTCTTTTGATTTTTTCTTTTTTCCTAAAAAAGAATAATTAAAAAAAAAACAAATAATGATATGGACATGGATTACATGGCATAAACTAGCATATCGTTGGAATAAAATTAAAACTATCCTATTTTTGGAATAAATGTTTAAAAGCACCGTATCTTGATAAATAACTTAAAAACTTATCTTCTGTGACTTGTTTTTTAATGATCTTAATTAAGTCACACCCTATGCTTCATATTTTCAGCCTATTTATAGTCACTAAATAATTTCAGCCAATAAATTTTAAGCCAAACGTAGCTGTCAGAATTTACTTGATGTAATCTAAGATGTTGGTTTGATAGTTAACGATGTTTGGTCTTTTCTTGATTTTTTAGGTTTTAATTTTAGACTAATATTCAAATAAATTTATTAATTTTTATGAATGCCCAAGATCAATGTGGGAGGTATTCTTAAAATCATCGAGAGAGAACCTAGTCTCAGTTGACAAATAAATTACTTTGAGAATAGCCTTAATGTCGCATAAATAAATAAAAAAGAACTTACTTGATCCACTAAGTTTAATTGTTTTGTTTCCATTTTAAGAATATGAGTCGAAGTTCCGACGTCATCTATTTGTAATTAGGATTTTGAAACAAATATATATATACCCACTCCCTCAATTTGTTTGTTCCATTTAACTTTTCAAAAATACTTAAAAATACAAGAAATATGGTGCCCTAACATCCAAAATTGCATCAACCTTTCACTAATATCCTTTTATTTGTACCTTTTGACTTTTTATAAAGTTTAAGAAACACAATCGGTATAGTTTTAACTAGTTGGCTTTTCGCGTTATACGACGAAACGGAATTAAATATATTTATTTCAGTTTGATAACATGTATTATACCATCGATCAATAAAAATATATTAAATTAAAAATAAAATTTCATCTAATTTTATAATTTTTAATTAAAATTTTGCACCAATTTTTTTATTTATTTTTAAATAATTTTTATAGTTAAAAAAACACGATTTATGCTTTTCTTTATGAATTTATTCTTAAAAAAAAATTGTAATAATCTAAATATAAAATAAAAAAAATATTTTTTAATATTTTTTAATAATTTTTTTATAACATTGTATCGAAGAAATAAAGTAACATAAAAATCTATATAAAAATTAATAAATAATTTTTTTTATTCTTGTTTAATACTAATGAGAAGAATATTTTTTAAAAAGTATATACATTTAATACACGAGACACACACACAAAATAATGAATAATATTAGTATAAAAAATTATATTTGAATTATTAGGTGGTTCTTCTAAAACATTAGTTCAATTATTTTAATCAAAAAAATAATTTCAAAATATAAAAAATAATAGCACTAGTTGGTGTTATGAATGTAGATGCATAGTTAATTTTCACAAAAATTAATAAATCTATGTATATTTTTTATACATCATGATCGTATTTATTGGGCCAAACTACACAGCATAAACTGATTTTTTTTAAAAATAATTGTAAAAAATATATTGAAGTTAGTAGGGTGCAATAAAAAAAAAAAACCAAATTTATTTCGATAAAATTTGATTATATAAAGAATAAGCAAATAAAACACATGAATTCTATTTTTAAAATTTGATTATATGAAAATAAGCAAATAAAAACAACTAAAAAAAATTATTCAGAAATCCATACATAAGAGAAAATAAATCATATTTATTAATAAATAAAATTACATAAAAAAAATAAAAAATTAATCGATGAGAAATTTTTATAAGAAATGGAAAATTGAAGAGATCAATTTTAAATAATAAGAGTAATATAATCTGATATATATATATATATTCTAAAATTTAAAAACATATCATATGTTTCATGTTCTTCGACTTGTGTAAAAAAAAAAAAATGGTAATTGGTTACATAAATTGGTGAAAAAAAAGAAAAAAAAATATGAGGAAGAGAATAAAAATATCCTTTTTCATATTTTTCATATCTAATTCAATAATAAAAAAACATAACTTGATGGAGGAAAAAAACACCAAAAAAAAAAGAGAGGAGGCAGGCCTAAGTGCTTGCCTTGGGCCTTCTTTAGGCACAATTTTAGGCACAATGCAACAAGACTAATGATGACACGACCCACATATTAAAATTTAATTTGAAAAATTTAAGGAAAAAAATGTAAATTTATTTTGAATATAAATGTTTAAAAAATTTTAAAATCTAAAAATATTATATATTTCATAACCGTCGGTTTGTGTAAATAATAATAATAATAATTGGTTACATAAATTGGTGAAAAAAGAAAACAAAAATAAAAGAGGAAGAGAATAAAAATAGCATTTGTCATATTTTTCACATCTAATTCAATAATAAAGAAACTTAATTTGATGGAAAAAAAATTAAAAAAAAAACCAAAAAAAGAGAGAGGATGCGAGCCTAAGTGCACTCGCTTGGGCTTGCTGTAGGCACACTCGTAGTAGGCCTAATGACAACACGACCCATGAATTAAAATTTAATTTGAAAGATTTAAGGACCAAAATGAAAATTTATTTCAAATATAAACGTTTAAAAACAAGTTGAAAACTCACAAAAATACCGTCGTAATCTACAAGGATGAACAAGTGAAAATCACATTTAAAAAACCCCTTCTCTTTTAGTTTCTTTTAAGGAGAGAGACAAGAAAAAAAAACTAAATACTTTATAGAATGTTTAGACAAAACATTTTGAGATGGTTTAAAATAAAAATATGGACAAAATGAGTTTTTTTTTTTTTAAAAAAAAAGGTTGAGGACATAATTTACTCGCAGACTATTAGAGTTGTAGAAAAAAGACATATATTATCAATCTAGACTATTTAGACCAAAATTATTAATTTTTAGGCAATTTTATATTTTCTCGTTATGTTTGACGATCATCAAAATGTTTACTATTAACCGGAATATTTAAAACGATATCATTTTAAATATTTTATTTTTTAAATTAAAATTATTTATAAAAAAATAATAATTCATTTTTTTTACTAGATGGATCCATTACACCTTATTTATTATCCCACATAAACATCTAATTCATAAATAAAAAAATATCTAATTTTTTTAAAACCTAACTCGTTATTAAATAGATTTTTTCAAAATTAATTTTAATTCTAAACAAGCAAAAATACTTAAAACGACACACTCTTTAAGTATTTCAATTAATAATTAACACTTTGATCATTAAAAATGATGGAGAAGATAAGATTTATTCGGAAAATAATAATTTGAAATCCAAAGAGACCGGATTAATAATATAGATCTTGTTTTAACATTATCACAATAATTTAAGAGTAAATTATGTCATTAAACCAAAAAAACATATTAAAAAGTATTCTTTTATATTCACTATCCATGCAATTCAGCTTCAAAATTTTGCTTGCCGAGCATCAATTTATCATTGGAGTAGCTTGCAGCTACATGTTAATTCTTTCTCCTCAATAGTTTTTAACCCCTTGTTTAGATAGGAAGGAAAGTGGAGGAGAGGAGAGAAAATAAGAAAGAAAAGTTTTCCTCCGTTTGGTTTGGAGAGGAAAGCGAGTGGAAAGAAAAAAATATTAAACAAATGTCTTTTTGGTGGGACTCATTTTTCTCCTAGAATTGGGTGGAAACGGGGAGAAAAGCGTGAGACATATCTTTTGTTTTTTGTTTTTCACATTTTTGCACTTGCCTCGGTCGTCCCCCTCATTTTCTACTCTCCACTAACGGATCCGCAAAACAGATCCGTAAATCAAGTTATTGAACATTTTACCCACCACCAAAGTCCCCACCAAAGATGGACTCGCTAATCAAAAAGTCTCTCTTATCAAAACCTCTCTCCCTCCATCTTCCCGTAATGCACCAAAACCCGTCGCAACCACCACCACCACTCGTAACCCACAAATCCACCCTACCTTTCCTTTTCTACAGTCTCCAAAATCGAACTTGCATCATATTTCTTCGTTTCCAAGCTCCATTTCGGGCGGCCCATAACCACCATGGGTTCTCACCACACCTCGCCGCCCGAAGCTCTCCGAACGTAATAGAGTATGGAAAAGACGAAGGGGCCCTTGAAAATGTGTTGCTTAATTTTGAGTCTCGTCTTTCCGGGTCGGATGATTATATTTTCTTGCTTCAGGAGCTTGGTAATCGAGGAGACCGTAAAAGGGCCATTTGTTGCTTTGAATTTACGAGTGAAAAGGGAGAGGATAAGGAACAAACAAGGTAAATTGGCGAGTGCCATGATTAGTACCATGATTAGTACTCTTGGTAGGTTAGGTAAAGTAGAGACTCGTTAAGAGTGTTTTTGAGGTCGCTCTTATCGAAGGTTATGGAAATACTCGTTTATGCTTTCTCTCGCTATAATTAGTGCACATGGTAAAAGTGTTATTGTAATGAGGCTATTAAGGTCTTTGATTCGATGGAAGATTATGGCTTGAAGCCCAATTTGGTTACTTATAATGCTCGTTATTGATGCTTGTGGGAAAGAGGGTGTAGAGTTTAAGCTAGTAGTGGAGATTTTTGATGAGATGTTGAGAAATGGAGTGCAACCGGATCGAATCACTTTTAATTCCCTTCTGCTCGTGTGTAGTAGAGGAGGGTTGTTGGCGCAAGCCGATGCCCTTCGTTGGCTATCGTGGAATTTCTATGTGGCAATTCATGCCCTCTCGCCGTTGTTGATACCTCTCGGGATCATGTTCTACGGCCTCAGCTTGCTTAAGTTATTCGAGCGTGGATTTGGCATTTACATTCTCTCGCAGCATGGAAGCCTTTGTTGCCTTTACTAACTTTGATTCTTGTTAATTGTCACATAATATTTTTGTTCTTTCAATTGTCTTCCCTTTTCCATTTATCCATCCTCCGATCCAAGAGTTATTACTCACGTAGAGGAAATGAATTTATAATTAATTTTTTTTATCGGACTTAATTGATAGGATCGTGGGTAGTGCTTGTGAATGCATCCATTTCCATCTAAAAATTGATGTCTACTAGGATTAATAATTACATAAGAAAATCAAACTCACAACTTAAGGGTGATAAACAAGTAAGAATCAAAGCTAAAACTTGAGGGCCATGATTTATTTTTGCATATTAGCCCATGACTCTACATAAGAAATTGTCATCATTTCATTCCTCAACCCTTTCACATTTTGGATCCGGTACTTGGGAGACCAAACACCTCTCTCAAAACACCAAAACTAGCTCTCAAACAGCTATAAACAAGCCCCAAAACACCCTTAAAAAATATTCCTAAAACCAATCCCGAAACGGACTTAACAACTATCCAAAGCCCTCAAACTCGACCTTGAAACCGTTACCAACGACCCTCAAAACCCTTACAGAGCAACCTTTTTGGACAAGTCATTTGAACCACCAAAAGAAGCTTCAAAAACACGCCCAAATCAGCTTTAAAACACCTAAAAAATCCACTAAAACAGTACACAAAACATCCCTTAAAACAATCAATCGAACACTTTTTAAAGTTACCGCAAAAGAAGAAATAAAAATTATTATTAAAAAACAAAAAAGGCTGAGCATATTTTCGTGTGTTAGATTGTTGACAACCATAACATGATGTTGTAGGTTGCATTTGATTGAGTCTTTTTGATCGAAAAATAAGCAACAAAAGTTACCTTGGGCTTTCGGGAACTCGCAAATTTTACGAGTAAATTTAGAGTGTTCACCCGATCGATGGGTTATGCTTATCTATCCAAATATGCAATTTATCTCAATTTTTGTGATTCAACTCGACTTTCCATGATTGTTCGCAATGCTACGATATACTCTCTTTTTTTAATTGCTAAAAAGTAATTTTTTAATCCAAAAAAAAAAGTCGAGAAAATGATGGGTTCAAGCAACTAACTTATTATATGCATAGATAATAATACATGTTATACATATTTAAATTAATTTTATATTGATAGTTAATCTAAATTGGCTATTGAATTAATTAATTAGTAAACGATTATCGATTATTCTATGAAGACGATTCATTACTCATCTTATCATTTCGGATAGATGCTACATGCTAGATTTTTATTTTATTATCATTTGTGCTATGTATTAAAATATTCATACAAATTTATTATAAGTATTTAAATATAGAAATATAATCATAAGGGTATTATAATAAACATACAATAATATATTTTCTTTCCTCGTTTTTATAATTGTCTAAATAAGAAAAAAATATATATATATTTTTTTCATTTCTACTCTTATCCAAACAATAAATGAAAAAATAATTTTCTTTCCTCTCACTTTTTTTCTCTGAAGAGAAAATATCCAAACAAAAGGTAAAAGTGAAAAACCAGTCTACGGCCTACCAAAAGAACCACAAAGAGCGTCTCCTACCAGAAAATTATGTAAACCCCGTGAAGGAAAAGACAACCTGCTCCTTTGCTCGTAAGTTCTCTATGTAATCAGCAACTTTGGTATACCAAACACTTTGTTGTCGCTACCAGGCCAAAGCTATGCATTTGCACACAAAGCCAACTTCAACAAATCTACCAATCGTGTGATAAAGGGAATCAACTACATTGTTCTTGAAGCTTGATTCAATTTAAAAATAATAGAATGATGGTTTATACGGCTCGAACGTTTATGCATAAATAAACTAGTTTCTAAATACCAACCATTTCTTCACCTAACCATTCCTTGTCGTATGGTACGTCCGACGAGGCCCAGGTCGACGGGATAGTTATACAATGTGCGGCTAAGTTTTAAGAAATCGAGGAACTATATATATATATATATATATAGAAAAAGAAGAAGAAGACGTGTTAATCCCATCACCTAACCATTTCTTGTCTTATGTAAAGCATCATAAGTCTCATCGCTTGACCACATATATTTTGTGCTAACAAATCGAGGAGGTAGCATTGAAGATCACTGATCGCTGGATTTTGGTCCAAGATATACACGCAGGTTTTGTCTGCTTGGATTCTTGGGAATAAGTTTCGAAATATATACTAGTTAGATTTAGTGGAACGTCTAATAAAATGATATTATATTTTTATATTTAGTTTTTAAATTTTTAAAATAATAATTTTTTTATAGGATGGTAAAAAATATATTTAAATTAATTCATAGATCAATTGAAACAAATTTCATTTTCTAAACGTTCTTAAAGACGCATCTTTACTTTTATTACAAATAGACAATTTCAATTGTAATGACTTATTAGATTACAAGTATTAAAAAAAAAAACACCATATAATATACTATTACATGACTAAAAGTAATCATGCAAAGAGTGTATTTTGTTTTAAAAGTATATGGAAAAAAAAAAAAAAACTTACAAATAAGGACCAAATTGTAAATATAAAAATGATATATATATATATATATTTCATAGATGAACTAAATATAAAGGAAGTTTTATATATAGTTTTAAATGGGTACCTAACACAAATACAAGAGGATCACAAAAAAAAAAAAAAAAAAAAGGAGGAAAAAATGAAACAAACAAAATCTTGATTACTTTGATGGTACAAGAGAAAAAAGCCACCAATTTAATTTCAAATCTTATGACGACTAGTGGCTCTATTACCTCATAAATTCTTCTCCTTTTGTTAAGCGACATTGTCTATCAATTCACCTCCAATCTATTAAGATTCGTTGAATGAACTTTAATTAAAAACTCTATATGAGCAAGGAAAAAAGAAAAAAGAAAAAACTATTACCAGGTATCTGAAAGAGGTGGGGTTGAGATTATTCACCTCTTTTTTTTTTCTTTGGTTTTGAGTACTGTTCATCTATTTTTTTTTCTTTTTTTTGTTTCAAGTTCACCTTTTTTTTTTTTTTTTTTTGTTTCGAGTATTGTTCACTTTTTTTTTTTTTTTTTGTTTCAAGTTGCCGTGAATACATGTTTTTTTTTTCCCATCAAGTTAGGTTCTTTATTTATTTATTTATTTTTAAATTTTTAGCTTGTTTTATTTTCATCTCTAAAATTTTAAAATAAAAATTTTAATCCTCTATCTAGTGCACTACTCATGCCTTTTTTTTCCTTTGCTTTTTCCATCAATTTATATTCTTTTATTTATTTAATTTCGTTTTAAAATTTTTAAAAATTAATCGTTACTTTTTTCATACAAACCGATGATTATATAATATATGCAATATTTTTTACACTTATACAACATGTTTTTAGATTTTAGTACGATATTTTTTTTTGTTTCAAGTTGTTTCATTTTGGTCTCTAAAATTTTAAAATAAAATTTATAATCCCCTAATTGATGCACCACTCATGCCTCTTTTTTTTTTTTTTTCCCTCCTTTGCTTTTTTCCATCAATTTATGTTCTTTGTTTTTATTTAATTAGGTGTAAAAATTTTGAAAAATCAATCATTTTTTTTTCATACGTACTAACGATTATATAACACTACTCATGTCTTTTTTTTTTTCCATCAATTTATGTTCTTTCTTTTTTTATTTAATTAGATGTTAAAATTTTAAAAAATCAATTGTTACTTTTTTTTCCACACAAACCGATGATTATATAATACATATAATAGTTTTTACATTTATGCAATATATTTTTAGATTTTATAATAAATATAAACTACTCTTATTGTATAAAATTAATTTTTTGGATAAAAATTCTCATCAAGTTAATTTTTATTCTTATTTTTTTATATTTTTATTTATTAATAAATATGACTTATTTTCTCTATGTATGAATTTGAATAAGTATTTTTTTTAATACTTGTTTTTATTTACATAATTCTTATATAATTAAATTTTAAAAATTGAATATATGTATTTTATTTTCTTATTTTTTACATAATCAAATTTTATCGAAATCATTTTTATAGTTTTTACCGTACTCTTTAACTTCATATATATTAACTTCACACACACACACACACACACACACATACACACAAACTATTTTTAATATTTTAAAATTAATATATATGTTAGCTTATATTACTCTTATCATTTAAATTTCATTATTTGAATTTATTATTTTTTATGAAAATTCTCATCCAATTAATTTTTTTTATATAAGATCTTACTTACTGATAAATATAATTTATTTTTCTCTATATTTGAACTTTAGAATAAAATTTTAAAAATAATTTTTTTTCTTTTTTAAAAAATAAATTGGTATAATATATATAATGAATTCTTATAATGTTTAAATAATGAGTTGCACATATATAAAAATATAATTATTTTTATTATAAAAGGTCAAAATTGTATTTTAAATAATTTATCTTGGTTCACTAGGTATAATCAAGACATATAAAAAAACTATTGAATCATTGATTTTATTAAAAATTAACTATATATCTTCCAACATAATACAGATTATTTACTATTAATATTTTTTTAACATTATAGAACTAATTTATTTGTAATAAAATAATTAAAATAACTTTTCAAAGGAACCAACCAATTATTTAAATATAGTTCTTTTATGCTAATTTTGTTGATTATTTTGTAAATAAATATATATAGATCTAATGCATATAATTTTTTAAAAAATAATCTTCTCACTAACATTAAATAAGAATAAATTTTTATTTTTTTATTGGTTAATTTCTATGCAAGTATATACATTAATTCCGACTTTTATTTTTTGGATACATTCTTATATATATATAATTTTAAATTATTTGCTTTTGAATTCTTAATTAATATTTCCAGTTTAAATTATTAGAAATTTTTATTTAAGAATCCTTGAATAAAGAAGAATAAATCATTTTTTAAGCAAAAAATTATGAAAAACACAAAAAAAAATTATAATAATTCAAATAAAAAATAATGAAAAAATTATAAAAATTTTAAATGATTTTTTTCTATCTACCCGTAGCATTACATGGATAATTTTAAAAATTAATCTTCTCATTAACATTAAATAAGAATTTTTTTATTAATTTTTATAAAAGTCTCGTTCATTAATTATAACTTTATTTTTTGAAAAATTATATTTTTAAAGTTTTTTTAATTCTTAATTAATATTTTAGTTAAAATTATTAAAATTTTATTTTAAAATAAATCTAAAAAGAAGAATGATTTATGTTTTTTTTAAGCAAAAAATTTATAAGAAAAACATTAAATAATTAATTAAATAAATAATTTTAAATTTTAAAATAATTTTTTTTATTAGATCTACAACGTAGCGAGGGCAAGCCACTAGTAACCTTTAAGGAAAAAATTTATAAAGGGACGAAAAACCAAAAAGCCGTAACCTCTAAAGAAAAAATCTATACAGGTAAGAAAAACCAAAGAAACTAAAAATTACAAACAAAAACATCAGATCTAAAGACATAAAGTCTAGAGTGGGATTATTGAAAAAAAATGTTGAAAAAAAAAACGGTCGGAGCAACAACGAAGAAAAAACTCAAGAGAAAAAAAAATATTTATAATTTTAATAGAGTGCAATCAAAATGTAGTTCATATGCTTTCGTAATTATATACATTAATTCAACTGTAATCATTAAGTTCTATGCGAAACTAATTAATTTTTTAATATGAAAAAAATTAATTAAATAAACAAAATATTTGCTTACTTGTAAATAATTTAAAACAATTTATGGGATTAATTAAAAATATCTTAATCTAAACCTGCCATTCTGAAGATTTTCTATGCTTTGGTGTTAGTTTAAGGTATGTTATGTCGCTTCTCTTCTCTAAAAATATATTCTATTATTATGTACAAATTGTAATTTTGGAAATTCTTAATCGAGACCATGATATGGCGACTCTTAAACAAAGTATGAAAGGTTTTGTCAAATTTATTTTATTGGAACATATGTAAAGAGAATAATTTGTTTTGTATCAAGTTGATATTAATAAAATTACTGTTTTTCTATATAAAAAAAATTGCCATCTACAATTCTGCCCCTAGCATTTCTTACCGCTGAACCATCCCAGTCATTTCCTCATTTGATTAAAACATATCAATCTCGGTTTATCTTCCATTTGTACTTGCTGACATATAGGCACTTGTCTCCCTGCGTTGTCAAACAAACGCTATTTCCTATTTCCCCATCGAACACAAATCCATTTCGAGCCTTCGGAGTTTCCTTTGTTAAAAGTAAAATATCTTCAAAATTTCCCAACAAATTAACGTAAAAGAAGGAGCAGAATTGTGTATATATTAATCAAGGAAGAGAAACACATTATTGATGGGGATTACAAAAAAAGCACAATACACCTTTTACCATAAAAGTGCCAGCAACACAGTTACGCAAGCACGATACAATGATCATAGCATTACAAGAGTAAATATTGAAAACCCAGCATCAATTATTTGAAGGATGTCCTAGACACAGGTCACTTGGGGTAAACGTGAGCTGGAAGACGAGGCTCGGCAACAGCAAAAAGTGGGTATTTTTTCGGTGTAGAGAGCCCAAAAATTTCCTCCATACTCAAGTCCTCCTTCTTCATGCCATCAGGTAATCTCCATTTATATCCATGAAGAAGATTTGACAGAGTTGCTTGAATCACCTTTAGTCCTAAAGGATACCCAGGACACATCCTCCTTCCAGCTCCAAATGGCAATAGCTCATAATCATGGCCTCTAACATCAATAGAATTACCAATGAATCTCTCAGGACAAAATTCATCAGGCTTGTCCCAAACTTTGGGATCTCTCCCTATGGTCCATATATTAACAAGGACACGACTGCCTTTTTTAATGTCGAATCCATTAATGTTGACATCTTCACGTGCTGCTCTAGGCACTAACATTGGTGCCACAGGGTGCATGCGCATAACCTCCTTAGCGATGGCATAGATATATGGCAAATTAACAATGTCTTTCTCTTCCACCCATCTTTCTCTTCCGATTACCCTATCTAGCTCTTCGGCTGCTTTCTCAAAAATTTCTGGCTTTTTCAACATCTCTGACATTGCCCATTCCACGGTCACTGCAGAGCTTTCAGTTCCACCGGCAATCAAGTCCTGAGAATGAATAAAACGTAATAACATAATTAAGGACACTTATCTGAACGTCACAAAAGGACATCGAGAACTAACTTGACTTGTAAGTACAAGAGAATTTAATTGTGTTCAAGGTAAGAACATATTAGCCAATTCCAAATATTTAATTGTAAGTACAAGAGGTTTTTAAACAGTACGATAAATTGATTGGACGATTCCAAACATTTAATTCATAGAGCAATGCTAGGATCGCTTGTGTGTGTTGGACATATGCATCAAAAGCGTATCTTGAATTTGTGTGTATCAAACATCCGCAAGTGTACTAAATAGCATTTTCCTTAATCAAGAATTTTCAAGTTCTAACAAGAAGGGCGGTGGGTATCATCTCATCTAAATACAATCATGCAAGAGAAGTCGGGCCAGTGAGCTTGATTATCCCTCGATTGATGGCCACTATAAGCTGCTGCTTTCTTGAATGTGCACAGGCGAGTTATGCTGTCTATTGGCACCTTGCGCGTTCTTAAAGTACTAGAAATTCTGTCGATCACTACCAATGAAAAGTCATGACTAGTACTCCAGGGCAACTTGAAATTACAACTAAGTTCTTTCTTCCTTCTTGCTTGGTTCTATGACGCTACAATTTAGGCATCAATGAATGAACTCTGCTCTCTCTCTTTTGTCGCTTTTCCTTATGATTTGTTATTGATGCGAGAACTTGAAAGGACATGAAGATATATTGGTGGGAACCACAATTTAGTGGCTGATAAAATTTGACGCGGTCCAGCACTCATTATCAAGAAAATTAGTGCAAGTGAGGCCACTATTTAATACCTAATAGTCAACTGATGTAATTAATGACCAACTGATAATAATTAAAATAGAGTACCTGTGAAAATGCCTTGACACCGTGCCTTTCAAGCTTGACCTCAAGATTAGGATCAGAAGCAAGCTGCAAAAGGACATCAACCATATCCTTGGGCTCCCAATTCTTGTCTTCTGCCTTTCTCCTAGCTTCATGCTCATCCAATACATGCTCCATAAACTTGTCAAACTTCTTGGACAAAACTTTCATCCTCTTGATGTACCCTTGCAAATCCAAGAAAGCAATCCAAGGGATCGAGTCCCCTATATCCAACACCCCATTAAGCAAGAACAACTCATCAAGCATTTCTTTGAACTCCTCCGGTGTTACTATCTCCTTCTCATGTTCAGAACTCTTAACGGTGTATTTTTTACCCAAGACCATACGACTAATTACGTTAAGACTCACGTCCGTAAGGTGATCTTTCAGATTGATAGGCCCGCCACTTGATTTGTGAAGAGATTTAAGGAGTGCTTTCAACTCCTCTACACGAATGTACTCGTACGACTCAAGCCGCTTAGCACTAAAGAGTTCCATTAAGCACATTTTACGTGCTTGACGCCAATATGGACCATATGGAGACCACGTAATATCTGAGTAATTATAGGTGGTGTATTTGCCAGCAGCTGTTTTGGGGCGGCCAGAGAAGACAACATCATGGGTTTTGAGGATGGTTCTGGCCATTTCAACAGAAGAGCCAACAACAACTGGGAATGATCCAAATTGGACCTGCATAAGAGGGCCATATTTTTGGGAGAGGGCATGGAGGGAACGGTGGGGAAGTTCGCCTATGAGGTTGAGGTTTCCAATTATGGGCCAGGGTTTTGGGCCTGGTGGGTAGTTGAGTTTGCGGCGGCGGAAACGGCTGGCTAGCAGGATAAGGGATACAGTGGCAAGCCATGCGAAAGCATAGGACATCCAAGTCTCCATTTTGTTTGTTGGGGGTGGTGTTGGATGTAAAGAAAGATTTGTGATGGTGCAGGGGGTGATGCAGGTATTTATAGTAGTGAAAAGCAAAGCATGGATCTTTTGATACTCTTATTTTTTTATGACTGGGTTGGCACTGGGGCTGTCCCTATAGCCCATTAGGACAAGCTGAGAGTTGGTGAGCGTATAGTAGAGCTTCTTGTGGGCCCATTTTCAACAACCATGGACCCCACAGGTTTGTTCCGGAAGGCAAATCGACAATATTTCGCAAGCTCGCCGCCACTTGCTAGTCTGAATGCTACAAAAATCAAAATTTAAATGCTTGTGGTGGTATGGTATTTTTTTATTTAAAAAAAAATTCAGTTTTCTACAAAAGTTTTTTTAGGAATTAAAAAACATATTTTTACTAATTTCTTTTCTCGTAACGTATATTTTCTATCTCGTTAATTCGTTATTCTCTATGAAACTGAAAACATCAAAAAGTTATTTCCAAGTTTCCAAGATTCATTGAAATAAAAGAATATAAAAAAGGTAACTTACAATATTTTTATAAATCATATTCAAGTCTCAGGGCCCAAAGCCAAACATAAAATATGAAAAATGAATTTTAAATTTTGATTCAAAATCAAATTTTGTTTCAATCAATCATGCCAGATGCACTTTCAATATTTATAATTATGTTTTGTTTTAAGTTCAGCTCAAGTTTGGCCACTTAAGCTTTCTAAGCCATTCCATTAATGAAAATGATTGAATTGAAACTAAAAATCGCAAAATTCAATTCAACAGAATAGACATTCGAATCATCAGATTTGAATTTGAACCAACTCGTGATAACGATTAGCAAGACTAAAATTTCCCTAGATATTTCCTTGTATTTTTCCGATCACTCCAATTTACACGGTAGAATGGCGGAGCATATACTGCGTAGCTGACAGTCAGTGGTAGTTTGACAAGTAGATGTTGCACAGAACTTCTCCCTTCTTTTATCTGCATGCCTTGACCATTGCAATCAATCATAATTCATTGCTATATATATATATTGTTTTACAAACCGATAAATCCGCAATCTTTTTATAATTGTTCGATTCTTGTTTTTGTTTTTTTTTGTTTTAGAGTTTAAGGATATTCTGTGTGGGTTTCTTTTGTTTGGTCAGTTTTTTCCAATTCGTTTTTCATATGCTGATTAGTAATAATAATAAAAATGAATTTGTGACCTATATATATATATATATATATATAGGTGAGTGTGAGAGTTCATAAACAAAATTGTTATAAATTGTTTTTTTATTGACTCACTAGTTTGACTAGTATCGGTACTTTCACTGCAGGTTAGATGGTGGCCCTGTTTTAAATTGTTTGGTCTTTTTGTACAGACATGTCACACTCTGTTAGGTTCCTAAATAAAAAACATTACTCATGTTAGTCTTTCTTAAGGAAAAGACAATTAAGTACAATTGCACATTAGAAAAGTCTTGCATGCATTCGGTTTGGAACCAAACCCAAATCCTAATGGACCAACATTATTGTTAGTTGTACGTACGACTGTAATTATCAGGATGCTACACTTACAAAATCAGTTGTATGACAAGTATATTCACTGAAAATTTTAAGGTCATGGTGCTAAGGAGGAAGTCATTTAGGGCAAGCTAGCTAGCTTCTTCTTGATGCTTTCTGGGAATCTGAATAATGAAGGTTTTGGTCAACGGCTTGTGGAATCACAAGGAAAATCATGTCATTGTTTATGGTGGTAAGGGGGGAAAAAAAAGAAGAAGACAGAAAATCAAGTATAACAGAGGATTTCTCTGAAGTACGCAAGTAGTATTGCTAGGAATTTAAAACAGAAAACGACATGGACTTTTTGACCTATGTATGGTGATTTGAGAAATTCTTGGTTAGTTCAAGGAAAGAGGTGAGAATGCTTGATCATTGACTCCGAACTTTTGAAGAAAGGATTGATAGTTGCAGAAGTCTTTTTTTTAAAAAAATAAAATAAAAAAACTTTACCAATTTATATTTAGTTTTTGTTTTAATTTCATTTTTCTATTAACTCTCGGACTAAGAGTATTAATTTTTTTTTCCTATCTTAATCTCATCCTTCTTCTCTTTTTTCCATCTCAACTTGTTTCTTTTTTTACCAAATTAAATAAATAATTTTCGAAAAAATAAAAAAATGAAAAAATAAAGATATATATTGTCATTTCTTTAAAAATTAAAAATTAAAAATAAAAAAATTGAAATTAAAAATATTTTTTTTATCTATAATATATTTTATGAGTTTAATTTTTTATTTATCATTGTAAGCAAATTTTAAGTATAAAATAAAATATTTATAGTATTTTTTAAAATATGAAGAGAGTTTTATTTAAAATTTTGAATGATATTTATAATTTTATAACACCTCAAAAGAGTTTACTATAATTTATTTATTTTGATTTTACAAATTTCTTAATTTGACTAAAAAGTGAGAATATAAATTTTATTCAAATTAAGAAATTCGTTAGTGTTGGGTCCAACAGTAAAAAAAAAATTATATTCTCACTTTTAGGTTAAATTAAAAAATTTATATAATTAAATAAGTAAATTATAATAGACTAGTTTGAGATATTATTAAATTATAAAAACCATTTAAAAGTTTAAAAATTTTAATTAAAACTCTTTTTACATTTCAAAAAGAATATTGTATATATTTCATTTTATATTCAAAATTTACTTGCTATCGTAGAGACAGCATTTAAAAAAAAATACTATAAATATTTTATTTTATACTCAAAATTTACTTAAAGCCATAAATGATATTTTGAATAAAAAAATATTTTTAGCTTCAACTTCTTTTTTATTAATATTTTTTAGAGAGGATGACCTAATATATATTCACCTTTTCTCTTTTTTTTTTTTTCTAAAATCCATTTATTTAAGTTCGGTTAAAAAAAGATTAAAATAAACAAATAGAGTTAAGGAATGAGATTAATATAGAAAAAAAAGAGTTAACATTGTTAGTTCAAAAATTAACAAATGGAGGTTATTAAGACATAAGCCAAATATAGAAGGATGAATTTAAGATAAAAGATAGTAGAGGGACAGGATAAAAATAAATAAAATAGTAGAGGGACCTCTGAATTCATTAAGTCTTTCAATAAATAATGATAAGGTTTTCAAATTGACTTGAATCAACGCATGCACCCGACGGCTGGATAACCACTGGCTGAGAGCATCTTTTCTGAAAGTGGGGAAATCGGTGTGATCCACGAAAGTTTGCCTTTTAATAATACTATATGGTTGTTGGAGCAAGTTTAAGTCATTTGTTTTCTCATTTCTTTCCGGAAAAAAGAGTCTTTTTTTATCACTACAAGTTTTATGTTCAAATCTACTAGCACTTGTTCTGTAAAAAGGCAATATGTCTTTTTTATCACTACATTTTATTTTAGTGCCAGAGGTTTGAGCTCTGTCCCTTATTACATGTAAACACAACGTAAGACCCGTTTTCTTTCTTTTTCAAAAAAGATTTACTTTGAAGAATATCATTTAATTCACATCTTAATAATAAGAGTGCGTTTGGTCCAACGTTTGCAAAGCCTACCGCTGCTTTTTGATGAAAGGAGCTCACCAAAGCCAAAAGCCAGTGCGTGGAATTAAGCTTTGTTTCAGACCGTAATCGAACAAAAAACATGACGCACAAAAAATTATAAAGGGTAGATATTTTTTATTTTTATTATTTTTACAGTAGTTGAATGTCTTTAAACTAATTTGACATGAACGAAAATTAAATTCACTATTTTCTAAAAAGTATGAATACTTACGATACCAATTCTTAAAAACTTAGAACATATTTAGCTTTCAGTGTGTCAGTTGTTTTGTGATGTGAGATTAATTATTAACAAAAAAATAAAATAAAAAAGAATCATTGGTTACTGTTTAGTACTATTTCAAACACTATAGTTTACGAGATAATAGATTGTAGACTTAGACTCATGGTTATTGTTGGTTTCACTATTTGCCTTCCTAGCTTCCCTCTTTGCCGTTGGTTCTTTCCTCGTCTCTTCTCCATCGTTGGATCTGGTTGGACTTGTTTTGATTGTTTTACCCTTAATGAATTTTATTCTTTGTATCTCTATTATGCCCAAAACTCTTAATGTGTTTTTCATTAACAATTATGTCTATTCTTATGAAATAACATGAATTTTATATACTAATTCAATCTATTCTTGCCTTTAGAAAGATGTTTTGGGCCAGGTTAAAGCCATACAATCCCTATAGATAATAGTTGTTCATATTTCTAGACTTTAGTGTAAGCAAGAAACTATTGTCGACAACATCAGGTTGTTCTTTTCCTCAATGATGTACTTTCTTTTTTGCAATTTACCAATTGAAATTCCTCATTATGAATTCCGGTTTCTCATGTATTTAAAGGAATAAAGACATGCGTGGCCTTTTTGGGGTGATGTTGCCAAATGCTTTGACGAAGAAGCTGTTCGTATGCTACAGCCTCCTGTTATTGTTGTTTTTTGCAGGCTTTAAGATCAATGAATTTCTCGGTAATTATATTTTTTCTTCCTTATGACATTCTTTGTCATAAATATTTATCCACATTTTTTATAATTAAACAATATCTCCACAACAAAATCAAATTACAAAACTACTGTAAACAATTTTATTTTTCCATCACCAGCATACCCACAGCAAAACACGGGTTTCCAACTAATTAATTACTTCTATATTCTATTGATTTTGAAACGACATGCACATCTACTAGACTATCAAACAAGCTATGGAGGAGAGAAACAAAGTTGTCCATCCGCACTAGCATTACAAATATATGGTACAATAATTTTAAGACTAGACGTACAATAATATTATTTCGAAAGATAAAAACAAAAACAAATTATTAATTCCATTACATGGAGTAAAGATGTGCTGGAAGTCGAGGCTCAGCAACAGCGACAAGCGGATTCTTTTTGGGGGTAGAAAGTGCGTAAATTTCTTCCATATCCATGTCCTCTCGCTTCATGCCACTAGGCAATTTCCAGTTAAATCCATGTAAAAGATTTGCGACGCTTGATTGAATTATCTTAAGCCCAAGAGGAAACCCAACGCAAATCCTCTTCCCAGCTCCAAAGGGCATTAGCTTAAAATTTTGACCCTCAACTTCAATTTCCTTGCCAAGGAATCTCTCAGGACAAAATTCATTAGGGTTGTCCCATAGCTTAGGATCCCTCCCAATGGCCCATACATTCACCATCACAACAGTGCCTTTTGGAATATCATAGCCAGAAATTTGAACATCTTCACGTGCAACTCTTGGTACAAGTAATGGTGACACATTGTGTAGACGCATGGTCTCCTTCATAATTGCAGTAACGTACGGTAGGTTCACGATGTCTTTTTCTTCGACCCATCTCTCTCTTCCAATCACTCTATCGAGCTCTTCCGTTGCTTTTGCAAAAACCTCTGGCTTTTTCAAAAGCTCGGCTAGCGCCCATTCTGCTGTCACTGCTGTGCTCTCAGTTCCACCCGCAATCAAGTCCTGAAGGTTTTTCATTGAAAAAAAATATATACTGTGAGAACTAGCCTGATTAATTAGTTTAAAATGAAATGAAAATACAAGTGCATTGAATATGTTCTTGTGGCACAACAAGATATTTCAGTGAAAGAATACTTAACTGTAGTGGACTAAAACTGGGGCCAAGAAACTCGTACCATTTTAAAAAAAACATAAAATAATCACACGGTCGTTCAAGTGTTTAAAATTAGTTAAATCAATCCTAGTATTTTAAATTTGAAAATGACAACCCTATTATTTTCAATTTGTAGTCACATACAGGACCTTTGTACCAAACATGTTTGTTAGATGCTTGTTATTTGTGTTGCCATCTGTACACATAAGTGGATGAACTACATATGCGTGACCAAAAATTAGAAGTGTGAGGATAGACATACCTAAAGTTGAAAATACAGGGGCTATTAATTTCTAAAACTTATGGGATCCCGAGATGAATTTACCCTTAATCAAAATCAACAAAAATGGAATGGGAATTAAATGTCATATTTGTCGTCTAGTTCTAAGATTGATTTCAAATGACTAATTAACTCTAGGCGACCAATTCCTCGTATCAGATATCCAGACGTACCCCCTTATACGACAAGTTAAAAAAAATGACACTCCATGTGGATAAAATAGAAGCAACAAGTCAAGAGAGGTACAGAGTGCCTACACGCACGGCACACTACTTCACTTTTTTTTGTCCACCCTAAGGCAACAGAAATTCCATTTATATATTCACGAACAAACAAGGATGTGGTTGTTGGGAGGAAAAAAGGAAGGAAAAAAAAGGCATGTGAATGCGATGATCAACTTAATTAGGTTCAAAGATGAGAAAGTAAGTTGCTTCAGATTAATTAAATAAAGGGGTCAATAAAACATACCAGTGTGAGTGCCTTGACCCCGGTTCTTCCAAATTCAACATCAAGAGTGGGATCTTCGGAAAGTTGTAGAAGGATATCCATCATATCCTTAGCCACGTAGTTCTTAACCCCTGCTCTCCTAGCATCATGTTCCTGCAATTCATGCTCCATGAACCTGTCGATCTTCTTGGCCACAGCCTTCATTCTCTTAACATTCCCTTGCAAATCAAAATAAGAAAGCCAAGGGATCCAGTCTCCAATTTCTAACACCCCATTTAGCACGAACAGCTCATCTAAAATTTTCTTAAACTCATGTGGTGTATACACTTTTCCTTTTTCCGATTCAAGTGTGTAGTTTTTCCCTAACACCAACCGACTAATCACACTAAGACTCAAGTCTGAAAATTTCTCTCTCGTTTTAAAAGGCTTCCCACTTGTCTTGTATAGACTTTTGAGTAGGGAATGTATCTCCTCTACGCGCACATGCTCGTAAAAATCAAGACGTTTTGGACTGAAAATTTCCATGTTGCAAAATTTTCGTAGTTGGCTCCAATAAGGCCCATATTGTGACCACGTAATGTCTGAATAACTATAGGTAGTGTATTTACCTGCAGCAATTTTCGGCCGATCAGCAAGGCTAATGTCATGGGTTTTGAGGATGGCTTCTGCCACTTCAGCGGAAGAGCCTATAACCACAGGAATTGACCCAAATTTGATTTGCATAATGGGTCCATATGTTTTGGCAAGTTCCTGAAGGGAACGGTGGGGAAGTGGACCCATAAGGTTGAAGTTTCCAATTATAGGCCATGGTTTTGGGCCTGGTGGAAGTTTGAGTTTGCGGCGAAAGAGGCGGCGAGAGAGGAGGATCAGCACTACTGTGGCAAGCCCAGCAGCGGCATAAGTAACCACTTGTGGAGGAGGAGGATTGTCCATTTGTTGGTGGTAATGTCGATCGGCAGTAATAAGAGTGTTAGGGTGATGGGTTTCTTATAGTGGAAAGAAATGTCCTTGTGTACTGTGTAGTGTCACTTGCATAGCAGCAGAGTTACACGTCATGATGCGGTAATTTAAATTGATTTTTTTAATTATATTTTGAACACAAATCGAATCCGACAAACAATGGTTGTTGTACAATAGTTTGTGTTATTATTCTTTCCCCAGTGACGCAATGCGTTGTCGGACTTGTGTGTGATAGAATGGTTGTTGGGATTTTTTTCTTTTTCTTTTTTGAACTTTTCTTCTGTCTCATCCGAAATATTTCGAATCTGGTTGTTGTGCAATTTTTTTTTTTTTTGAATGGAGAGGATGTACTTGTCCCCTACACAATAAGCTGAGAGGGCTTTTAGGCTCCGTTTGTTTGGGAGAAAATAAGTTTTATAGAAAAATCAATTCCTGAGGAAGCTATTTTTTTGAAAATTATTTTTCAAGAAAATATTTTCTGCTGTTTGGCAATTATATGAAAAAGCCACTGAAAAATATATTCCAACGTTTGTTTGATACAGAAAATTAAAATACAAAAACTTATGTGATTGTTATATCAATAAGTTTTGAGAAAATTTTAAAAAGACATTCATAATTTCATAATATAAGATACATTTAGAAAAATTTAATAAATTTTCATCAATACTAACACTAAAATTTTAATTCAAAAAATAAATTGTATTTTTTTAACAATCAAACCAAATTATCAAAATTACTTAGGACAAAATTAAGTCAATATTCATATTTGGTAAAAAAAGATTCTAAGTAATCTTAGCATTATTATTTTAGTAACTCAATTAAGAATTTTTTTTTAAGAAATTGAACTGATAATTTAGTCTAAAAAATAATTTGATAAATTATTTGTTATCATCTATAGATAATTATTTATTTGATCTCAAAAGATTAATATTGGAATAATTTGTAACTAATTATTCATTACAATTACCAACAAAATTTTACAATTGATTAAAATTATAAATTATTGATTTAATTGCAAATGAATAGTGTTGAAAATATAATGTATTTATTGATGAATTAATTAATTTTAATTTCTTTTTACAAAAAATTATAGTCTTGTAATAATCATTTTCAATCATTTAACTATAGCTTAGGTAGTGATTGAGACAATAGTAAAAAAAGAAGATAAGTTATTGAAATATTTATTATAAAAATAATTTTAAGGTGTAAAAATGGTTTTTAAGAATATTTAATGTATCTATAAATCAAAAAATCAAATATTAGTAAAGATAGAGAAAAAATAATTAAATAATTAATAATAATTGATAAGAAATAATTAAAAATTAATATGATATATTTTAAATAAAAAGAAGATAGAGAAAAAAATTATTAAAATATATCGAGAGAGAGTTATGTAACGAGAGAGCGAGACGACTCGTGAGAAGGAAAATGTTTTCCTTTTTGAAACTGGTAAAACATTTTTCCAAAATTACTCTATCATTTTTCGTTGACTAGAAATCATTTTCCATTGATTTTTTTTTCTTAATGTGAAACAAATACTGAAAAATGGGAAAAACAAGTTCCAAGAACTTGTTTTCTACCAAACAAACGCAGCCTTAATCGAAACTTATTTGCAGGTCTTTTTCAATTTTAAGTCATTACGAGTCCTCAACAAACTTTTTTATTTTATTTTTTATGTCTGCTCATTCACATATAAATAGTTTTAATAAAATCGGATTTGGAAGAAACTAAGTTTCAAATCCCACACAAAGAAGCACGTTTTATGTAGGGTAAACCATAGAAATAGCAACATACAGTTAACGCGGGACATGACCAATTTACTCATGCATGATGACATCGATTAGTAGTTGGGGCTGTCAACAAGTCTGATTTGGATCAGGTTATATTAGAGGCAGATTTGATTTATTTAATTTAACTGATTGAATCTTATAAATTTATATCAATTTTTAAAAATGCGAAATTGGATCCACATCCTAACATATGCAGATCAAATTCAGAGATCCATCGGATTTATCATTTAATTTTTGAAAAAAATTTATAATTATTGCATTTCATGTGTTGCTCGAATATAAAATACATTTCAATCACTACATATATAATAAAATATTTTAAAATAATATTCTTTTTATTGATTTTGTAAAAAATTTAAAATATTACACAATTCAAAAATACAAAATCAAATAATCTTAATAAAAATTTATCTTGAACTTCGTAGAAAGTAAGATAAAATCAAAAGAAACAAATAATAAATCATATTTATTTCTTATCCATATGACATTAAAAATAAAATGATGACAAATATAATAATATCAAGTCTTAAGAATATATATAACTCAGTTTATAATTTTTTTTATAAAATTAAATAAAGAAAATGACTAAAAATTTATATTTGATTTTTTTAAAAGACAATCGTCACCATTAAAGGATATGCATTATTTGAACTTCATAATAAATAAACTATAAATTTCAACCTAGTTTCATATTTATATATATTTTTTCATATTTAAAATTTTATTATTTTTAAATATTATATTTACTATAAAAATATTATTTTTAATTTCGAATCAAATTATTATCATATCGGATCAAAGCATATCCGAATTTGATCCATTTAATAAACTCGACTAATGGATTCAAATCATAATCGAACTCGAATTAAAAAAAAAAAAAATTTACCGGATCCATTTAATTACATCGGATTCAAGTCGAATTCGAGTTAACACTAGATACTTTTATGGTCTTACTAGGAGCAATACTATTTGTATTTAACTTTGGAATGTTGGGTTTTTTTTCCCTATGTTAGTTTTGTTTTGTTTTAATTTGGGCTTAGGCTATATTCATTATTAAAAAAATAATAATAATTACAAACAGTAATCTTGAAACATCTAGAATTCAAAATTAATGATATTATTTTAAGATAGTAAGTACTGCATTCTTATTTATGGAAATGGTTTCAATATAAAACGAATCTGTACTATATATCATCTATCATTCAGTGGAAAAAGCACCTCGCAGGTTCGCAGAGTCTACATATTTGGAGCATTGTTAAGGCAACGTTTGGTAGAGATACGTAACGTAAGGGGTGAAATTACGGGAATGAGACAGTTAGAGATAAGAGGTAAGGGACGGGACTAACTTGTGATTGGTTTGGTAGATTGGATGAAAAAATGTTTTTATCTCTGTCTCTGTTTGGCTATAACTTATAAGAGACAAAATATAACAAAATGTTGTAAATGACTACTTTACTCTTATACTGTACTATATTGTTCTTATTTTTTGGAATTTGTTTTTAGACATTTTTTTTTCTATTTCACTATGTTTTAGCACTATTAGAATTGTCATAATTATTTTTAAGAAATTATAATTTAAATTTTAAAACTGTCTATCCATATAAATAAATTTGTCCATAGTGAACATTTAAAAAAAATCACATTGATTTATTATTAAATTAATCTGATAAAAGAATAGATCTATTCAATAGCATAAATCACTTTTAATCTTTAACAAGTTATAAACTAATATTATTTTTTTCAATGCATAATACAAAAAGTAATGAGAAAATAAATTTATGAAAATTAAAAAACAACGAAAAGAAACATTGAAAAAATAAAGTGAATTGAAGCAAGCCCAAGCACACTTAGGCCCCTATGCCGGCCCACATGGATTGAATAAGAGATTTAAAATATGTTCATCCACATAGATGGCGCATCGTTCATGGCCTTTTCCTCCAATTAGCTATCTTAATCTGACATTCGCATCGAGTTCTAACTTGTTGTCAACAGACACAACCAAAACTCTAATTTTGGGTTCGTTTTTAATAGAAAAAAAAATCTAAACACTGTTTTAGACCTTCTAAAAGAAAATATAACTTCAAACACTATTTTTAAACAACCATTCAACATAAAAAAGTTGAAAGTTTGGTGACTAATTTTCGTCTCAGAGATAGTGCAGATTGGATTTTGCATCCGTCATTGCATACAAAACACGTCCAGAATGCGTCTTATGGCTGTTTCTTGCATCTAGTACTCTCTACCAAAGAAGGCTACCTAAGAGTCCTCATGTCACAAAGACAGGAGGAAATATTGGTGAGAAGCAAGGCGAGACATGTTTATAATAGGTTTAATGATAAAAATTACTTTTAAATTATTGAGTTATGATAATTTAAGATTTGTACTATCAATTTAGGTTATTTAGACCTTAAATTATTAGTTTTTGGACAAATTTATCTTTGTTTATTATTTCTGACAATTAAAGTATTGACCATCCAACTTTTTTTAGAATTAAAATTAATTTTAATAATAATCAGCTTTAAAATAATTTAGATGATTTTGTTGTTTATAGATTTGACTTTTATTATTGGATAATTAATGATGTGTATAATGGATCCATCTAGTAAAAAAATATTAATTTTTTAAAATAAAATTAATTTTTAAAAAATATTTAAACAATAATTAGCTTTAAGAAAAATTAGATGATTTTTTTTTTATGGATCTTACTTTTTGTGTTAGATAATTAATGATATGTAACAGATCCATCTAATTAAAAAAAAAAAACGTGGTCATGTTTTTCAAATTAATATGGTCTTTCATGTTATATTTTTCAAATCAACGTGATCTTTCTTATCATATTTTTTAAATCAGCATGTTCATGTCATGTTTCTTAAATTAACATAGTTTTTTATATCATGTTTTTCAAAACAACATAATCTTTCATGTCATGTTTTTCTAAATTAATATGATCTTTTATGTCAAGTTTTTAAAATCAACATGTTCTTTTATGTAACATATTTTAAATCAGCATGTCTTTCATGTCACATTTTTAAATCATCATGGTCTTTGATGTTATATTTTTCAAAACAATATGGTCTTTTACGTCACATTTTCTAAATCAACATGGTCTATCATGTCACGTTTTTTAAAATCAATGTGGTTTTTTATGTCATTTTTTTTAAATTAACATAATCTTTCATATCA